AACCCACCTCATTTTCACTGCTAGTATACATTTTAATTATTCCTTATGTTCCTAAAATATACTTTGTGAACTAAAAGCCATGAGCAGAGACTCTGGAGATATTTAAGCAAGACCTCTTAAGACTTGTAATCAACATGGATATAATTAAATAGTCAAGCAAATACTCAGTCACACTATTTATTTTCTTGCAAAAATTAGTTGCACGTGTGTGGTCTCTTGTTCACTGCGAATTCATTTCTCAAAAAGCAGATTAGCATTGTGTTTCAGAAAAGAGAAGACTTTTACTGACCTAACTCTTCCTTTTATTACTTATTTCCCCAACTATTTTCAACCAGCCATTAAATAAGAAAGTTTTGCCCTTGCCTGATAAAACAAACAGTATCTGAAGGCAGCATCACAGGAGAGAGACTATTGCATATCATGTATGAGCAAAAAACAAAACCACAACAGATCTTGGTATCTGTACACATCTGGAAGTTGATTGAGCCCTGGTGTCTGGTGGTACTTTCAGGAAGGATTCCTTTCCTTGCAGCACTACTGGCTGTGACGGTTTTTAAACCCAACAGCCCAAGAGTGGAGAGCACCCTCCTCCCTGACCCCTGCAGGAGAAGCTCAGGGCTGACTGGCTGGGAAATTACCTGTGTCCCCTTTGGACAATCACATCTTTCTGTCACAAGTAACCTACACACAGACAAGGAACAGATTATAGTCCTCTGCTTCTCACATGCACCAGCAGACACACAGCTCAAAGCTGATCATCTAAATCTTGCCCATGAGTGCAGAGCAAACAAGATCACAACATTCTAAAGGGTTAAGAGTAGAAATCAAAACAAGCTTAAAAGGTCATTAAGTCAAAGATACTTTTGCATTATTGGAGTGGTTCAAGTTTCTGAAGACAGACTAGAAAATTGGCCAAGAATAAAAATAATTTTAATATTGCCTTCCTCAATAAGAGACTGACTTTTAAATTAAATCTAGTAGATAATTCACAAATAAAGTGTAAAATTCTTCAAACTACTTTAGATAACTTTACATATTGGAAGGGATTGCCACCTTTTAAAAAGGCCATCAAAACATAACACAACCTGGATATTCTAGTTAAAAATTCACACCGGAAAATGGTTTCTACTTTGTAAAAACACTGCATTATCTAGTTATATTTTCCTCTTCTAGCTTTCTATAAATACTTCAGGTGTGGTTAGAAAACCACGGCCAAGTTCTTCAAGAATTTTTAGTTTCCATATAATGTTTAAGGCTCCGGCATGTTTATGTTAGCATTTTCTGAAGAATACACATCATTAACTACTAAGGCAAAACCCTTGGTGGTCTGCTTCTCCCTGGCTCTGACCATTGCCTTTCCAATAGTTTGCAAATGACTTCCAGATGGGTATCAGTTACACAGACAGGGAGAATTTGTGTAACATTTATAAACAGTGCTCATTCCTGCTGCCATCTGGTGAGTGTGCTGCGGGGACACGCGTGATGAGCCTGTGAACAGGGCTGTGAATGGAGCACTCAACCCCACGGGCACATCCTGTCCCTGCACAAGGCAAAACCCCTTGCCTTGTACCTGTGACGGGAGCAACGCTGCCATAGCACATCACCTCAAAGTTACAAAATCCCAGATTGCTCCTGCAAATTTGGTCTTTGCTGGGGAGTTAGTTGCCCTAACATGGCCATTTAGTCTGCTCCAGATGTCCTCTTCCACCTGGCCCCAAAACTGCCACTCACAGCACCCACTGGTTTCCCATCTGTGTCAGACCTATCAGTCTGGTGCAGGTGTCTTGGATAATCCAGAACATCTGAAACCAGCCTGGGATGCATAATTGAAGCACCCAATTACCTTTGGTGATGTAGAAGGTACTTCTGAATTGAGCAGCCAGCTTTTCCAAGTCTGGTGCTCTGCTTCTTCCACTGGTGTTCTTTTCAGGATTTGGAAAATGATCCTCTGAAGCCTCTGCAGACTACCAAATAATTTCATTGAAGAAATGACAACCCCCATTTCAAATGGCTCCTACTGAACATTTTAATCTCAGCCTCTCCATACATGTAACTCAGTTGCCTAAATACATTCTAATTGTCTCCTATTTCCATTCCATTAAATTCTACTATACTATTTTGCAACATTAATTAGCCAACTCTGCCAAGGGCTAACTGAACACAGCATTTGACAGTGGCAGGGCTATGGCATGGTATGAAGCTAAAGGTGTCTGGGGCTGTCTCCTTGATAGAGACCCACCAGACTGCATGCTGGTGTGGGTATTTACTGCATTCCCATTAGTTTGTGGGATTTTAATTTTCTTTAGTGTAATTCTTGGGAGAATTTCTCAATGAAAAGTCACTTTTAGCACACATTCCAACACCACTTTAAGTCTTTTCTTTAAATCACTTTTCTTTGACATGGACACTAACTTCCAGGTTAGTGTGCTGAAAAAGCAAAAAAAGCAAAAATCTGGGGTCCTGGCAGTCAGAATTTGGACCTGTTCAGTTACAAATAAAAGCCAGGAAAAAACTGTGACAATCATACAATGGAAAAACTGTGGTTGTACAGCAGGAAGTATGAGAGTTCAGTTGCTCCTGCTCATAACCAGCAAAATTAAAGAATGAAACATTTTTGTACCCTTTCCCATAGAGAAAAGTGAACAGGGAGAACAAAACAGAAACCTGTCATATCTGCTGCTGGACATTTCTATTAAGGAGGAAAGCTGTTTCGTTTGAACTTACTTCATTATATTCCCATTTAAGAGTAACTTGAACTGAAACAAGGGAATTTGGAATTATGTTTTTGTTTTGGTTTTTTTTTTTTTTCCAGAAGTTGCTTTAACACATCAAGTAAGCATGCTAATAATGATTTAAAGCTTCTTGGTGTTCACACATAATTCTGAGCTTAATGCTAGCCTATTTTTTTTAAACTGAACGCCTGGAATTTAGGGGGACAATGAGGCACATGTAGCAAATGGCCACTCAGGCAATAAGCACAACAGATGATGGCTGAAGGCTCTGCCCTTCCTCTTTATCTCCTGACGCACCCCAAGGTTTATGAAGTTACACAATAACACCCACCCATTAGGTTTTATTGCTTAATGACTTATTGGGGAAAGAAAATGAAGTCTCCCACAGTCATCTAAGTTGGAAGAACAGACTTGTTTGGGCTTTTCAACTTCTTGTGTGAAACATGCTTACAAAGAATTAAAATTTAAAAAGTGGGCTACAGATCTAGTCTAACAAAACATACAGACATACAGAATCACATACTATAAAGTACATATGGAATGTTTGCTAGTATATATTCTGAAGCCAACCAAGCCTTCCTAGGCCACTCTTTTTTTTCCAGCTGACTACTCATGCCATAGAGCCTTTCTTAAATTCTGTCAATTACACAAAAGCACCATCTGAAAATCTATTTTTCTACATAAAGCATTCTTGCCTACATCACAGATACAAGCAATACTTTAAATCAGAGGGAATAAACCAGAACCTGTTAAAACATGAAATGAGATATATCACACACAATTTCCCTGGCATAAATCAACTCAACTGCACTTCACAGTTGTACTGACCTGAGTCAAAACTATTTAAGAACCAGGTAAAATGGAGTTATTTAAGTGCATTAGTAATTAGTGCTACATTATCAGGGTGTAAGAGAGACCAAAATTCTAAGAAGAGGTGGAACATCTTATTAGAGTAACTAATGAGGGAGAAGTGCAAAGAAACAACCTTCAGGAACCCAAATCTTTCTTCAGAAGCAAGCAATCCATCTCTTATCAATTTCTCAGTATCTTTGTTCCAGTGAGGTGCAGTGGTTGTACTGGTTATAACAGATAACCAGAGTCAAAGGGTTCAGGGCTTTATCTGCAGTTTTGCTACAGGGTTCATTTAGTCTTTTGCCCTCTACAAATGGTTTTCATTCTTTATTTGTTTCCTTCTTTGTGAAGTCAGAAGAACACTTGCCTAGCTCATAAGGGTAGTGCCTTTAGGAAAACTGTTCTTTCCCTAAGGTGATTTACTGAAAAACCTCTCAACGCAGCAGCATTCACAGTCCTATCTTGCCAAAGTCACAAATAGAGACAGCTTTAATTTGTATTTTAAATGCTCTTTAATAAAAGAAATCCTACTTTGTCACTGAAAATATAGGAGAGGCAAAGCAAATTGCAGGGGCTTTGTCTTATCTATTGCTTAGTACAGGAAGTTCTCAAAGCTCTCTTGCACAGGTTGAACCATTACCCTCACCCTCTCTTCACAGATAAGGAAACTCTAAGGCACACAGAAAGCACGTGCCACCCAACAGTACTTAAAGCAGTAAGTGAATGTCAAACCTGTGCACTGACTCTGAAACCCAACCTAATTAAGGACAATGCTGTTGAAAGCATGCTTCAGCTTTGCCAAGGCATCTTCGCTAGGACTTCAGCAAAATACTGAGCACATGAGGTCAAGGATTCAGAAATCCAAGTAGCAGACAAGTAAAACATAAAAAAGAAAGCTGAAATGAGAATAGGACAAAAAGAAGGTGGGAAGTGGGAAAAAATTTCTGCCAGAGAAATTAAAAAAAAAAGAAGCAACAATTATTCCAACAGCCCTGTACCACAGAACTTCTGATATAGGTCAGGATGGGCTTGTGAGCATTGCATCTGCAGCCTACAAGGACAATGGAAGCCAGCAGCTCAGTAAATGAAGCAACACCTATTTTATGGAACTTATGCAACAGCTATACTGTAGCTCCTTCAGAAACAATGGTAATTACACAACTCTTGTGTTATCTTTGGATAACACTGTAATTAGTATGTGTCATCACTCTAGCCATGATTAAAATAATCACTATAAAAAGTCCCTTGTAAGTAGCATTTACTGTCCTGGTTTCCAAACACGTACAAGATTATATTTTTAAAGTATAATTGCTTTTTCTGTTCACAGCTCAACTTAACAGTGTTTCTCCACCCACCTTCCACTTTATACAGCCATATGATGCTGCAGCAAAACTTTAACATGTGTAGAATACTTACAGCTCTTCCAAGTAAGGAAAGTTCTTGAAGGCATCTTCTGGTAGTCTCGTGATGTTATTCATGCTGATATCTCTGGAAAAGAACAAATACAGATGCATTAATAACCAGGAAAGGATTTTTACATCCTATGAGAAGGATACAAAAAAGAAAGTCTCATCAGATAGTACAGTAACAGAAAAAAAACTACTGTAGTATCATAGAGTAAATATCTCTTTTCATAAATTTGCATGCTGAACTTTCAAGTCACTGTAATTTGAGAATCGGGTTGCAGCAAAGGCCTATAAAATGGGAAGTTGACAAAATAAAGTTTTCCAACACCTCTAAACAAAAATAATTACTGTGAAACTACAGGGAAGGCATGCATGGAAGAGGCTCTACAGTACTGTTATCTACAGTACTAATTTTTACCAACTTACACTTATATACAGTTTTAACTCAGATGATTAAGAATACTCTAAAACCACAAGCATATGAAAAAAAAATATTGTGACCACCCACCACGCAAATTTTCATCCCACACTGTCTTTAAAAAAAATAATACATGCATTAGGACTTAATAAATAGCTTCTGGCAAACAGCACTTCTGGAACAACTGGCAAGAATAGCAGAAACATGTCCTAGCTCTACCACAGTCTTTTTTTGTTTTCTTTTGTTTTCCTTCTACAAAACTTATAAAGTCCTCGAGGTAATAGTTTTAAGCAGATTTCATTCTCAGTCCATAAGCAGAGGGAAGCTGGCAGCAAGTGCTTACATGATTGGTATGTGGACCTGCTCAGCTCTTTTCTTTACAAAGCAGTACTAAGTGGCAAACTTGGTGCCATCACCTCACTTCACAACTACACAACGATCACAGATAATCCACTCCTAAAGCAAGTTATTGCTCAATGTGAATAAAAGCAGCATGAAAACAATTTGGTTTGATAATTAAACTAGCTGCGTAACAATTCATGACATAATCCAAGTTCTTACTTTCCACTCGGTCGCTGGTTTGGGTTTTTTCAGGATGTAGTTAATAAGCAATTCAGTAACACTTGTCAGTAGGGCCTTCCCTGCTTGCTGTCTTCCCCGTTTTTCTATAGCACCTACATGTCACCTCTACACAATTCAAATAAAAACAAACCCAAACTCTCCTTTTATCTCAATAATGACCAACAAGTACCACTGAAGCTCCTCCCTGACATTAACAAGTGACAGGCAGCTGATCTGCTACACCACCTGTGCAGCAGACCCTCAGGTGCTGCCAGTGTGAAAACTGCCCTCTTACACTAAATCCAGAGACAGCACAGCCAATCCTGTAAAAATGTGCTTACACTAAATCCAGAGACAGCCATTTCTCTAAAATAAATGTTATAATAGTTCAAAACCTTCGTTTCTCACTTCTCAGCATAAACTAAGAGATTGCTCCTCAGCAGCTGCTAATGGTATACTAACCTAACTCAAGAGCATCAAAATAAGGTTCAGCACATACAAAACAAACCCAGCTGTGATAAGAGCCAAAACAAATCCACTATGGTACAAAAGCCTCCTTTCACCAAGCTCCAGAAGGAGCTGAACTGCAGATGTTTTATCCCCAGACTCGACAGCCCATACACTTTAAGCAGTGTTTTGTGCCTTGGCAGCAGCCTGGTCACGGTAAAATGTTGCTGTTGAGGATGTTTTTCTTCTTGTGCAGGAAAGTAAATAAATGTATCAGGTACATGACCTGTCATCTGTCTGCTCCATGGGACACTGCAACATCTATTCTCCTACTTTTCCAAATTCTCATAAATACACACATTTCAGGCTTGTCCTCTTCTTTTTAGAGCTGCAAATCCACTTTTGCTATCAGCTGAGAAGTATTTATGAATAGGGCAGAAGAGTAAGAAGAGAGTGCAGACCCTAATCTTAAGAACCAGTAACCTGTGTAAGAAAATCCCATCTCTGAAAAAACACTCCAGGTGATATAAAACCCTACTGTCACAAGCACCACAATAAATAGTGGGAGCAGAAATAAGCCAACAGCACACAGCATCAGAATGCACTGTGTGAATGCTTATGCATCACTTGGGCAAAGACTGTGGCTGCACACATATTTGTTGCTCTTTGACAGCTGAAAGCAATGGCCTTGAAATTTCCAGAGCTATAAATGCCCAGTTTCAGAAGTGCCCTATGCAATCCTAAACAAAGTCAATGGAAACCATGCAGACACACAGAATGGTTGACATCCCAATTCAAAGCAATTTTGGCTTTCTCTGGAATCTGACATTAACTAAAAATGGTTTTTCCCTGGAGCTTCAAGAATTAGGCTCTACAATTTTAATTTGGGAAGTAGATTCTTTGGATGTAAGCATGAAACAGATTGCTTTAATAATGAGAACCATCATCAACATTCTCAAATTCTACAGAAGTCTATTTTCAGTGAAGCTGAATTGGTAAAAAATCCAGACAGAAATATCAACTGCGACTGTCTTTATCACACGAATCTTCAGGGACTGCTTATTATGACGCCTTGCTAAAAAGCTGAAATTTTTACAAAGTTACTGCATTTGCCTTCATTACATGCAGTAGTAATTCTTACTAAATAAATAAGTCAGTCATTATAGCACTGATTTGCAAACTTTGGGCAATAGCCAAGCACCAGCTCTGAAAGTCTCCTAATGATCATCATACAAGTCTTAAAACAATTCTTGTTTAATGAAGAACACTATGTAAAAGCAGCTTTGCTGATACATATAATTTTTTTTCTTTTCATTTCACTCTACAGAATCTCCTCAAAGAATGAGTTCACAAGCACTATACACTGGTAATAAAATATTAAGTAGTTCACGACCAAGAATTTTCAAACAATATTAGGAACACCCTTGACACTAAAATTAGATTACTTAATAACTAGTCTCTATAAAGTTTACCTAGTTAATTTGGGAAGATACTCTTAATAACACATAATTAATAAAAGAATCGCAACAAAAATGGCAGAGCACAATATACTATAACAAAATAATGACAAATAATCCCCAAAACCACAGTCCAAAACAAAAATAGCCCTTGCTAAGTTTCTACCGTTTGCATTTTAGAAATAGTCATTTTACTACTCCTAAATGTTAAAAGAAAAAAAAAGGGATCAGTCTATGCAAGAAGGCTGTCTATTTCATAAAGATAAATATTAGTATGTCCCTTGACATGCCAAAGCAATCTCCACTGAGAAGCTGTCACACACCACCTGTTTCTCTCCTAAGAATCCCTTGGGAATATAAGTCCAGAAATCATTTAGGATGCTAATATATTTTAAAAAAAGTTCCTTATAATGAATAAAAGAACATTAACAGTACTATCCCAAGCCCTAGCAGTTTTCATGGGAGTGATGCTATCACACAACAGAGGGATCATGCCAGCATCTGTCTAAAGCTCCTTTTCAGCAGGACTAGGTTAAAGACCTACTGTGGATTGGGTTCCTACATCCAGATCTAAGTGCCCTAAAAGCAGCACAACACCTGCAAACCTTTGAACCGCCACCAAACACACAGAACTCCCAACAAATAAAACACCAAACCCCCGATATGTTTGCCCTAAATTTTATTGGTTAACTCTAGTTCAGACTCTGTATCTAAAAGGCTTGTCACAGTTTTCTTGTTCCTCCAACAAGTCCCCAGTATGGTCTGTCAGCCCAGCAAACTACACCTCTGCCTTAATTTTAAGCTCAGACCCACATTTATGCTTGGGACAGACAGAAATATCAACTGTGATTGTCTTTATCACATGAATCTTCAGGGACTGCTTATCACAATACCTTGCTGAAAAGCTGAAATTTTTACCAAGTTCCTTTTCCCCAGGAAGTGCAAAACAGACACAACAGCTCAAAGAGAGTTAAGATGATGGTAATACCATGGTTTACACTGCAGATTCATCAGGAAAAAGGAGAACCATGGGTAGACCTGTACCTTTCACCAGGCAGCAATTAACTGGGTTTATCCGTCCTAAAGAGCCAGGCTAACTTAACTCTTCACTCATTGACAACATTACCAAGGCAGAGGTGGCAGATGCCCCATTCCTGGAAACACTGAAGGGCATGATGGGGCAAAGAAGCTGGCACTGAAACTAAAAGGATGGCCAAGAGGCTGGCATTGAAACTAAAATATGAGCTGCCAAAGGTGGTAACCTCTTTAGCAAGAGGCTGCATCTCAGGGGATAACATTTTATATATATAGCCTTATATTTACAGTTAATGTCCATTTCAGGGAGGAGAGATGCAACACAGAAAATAAACAGTTGCACCCCATCCTATAGTGCCATGGCTGCAGTTTTGAATGATACATAAGGCACCTTACACTCCAACAGAAGCTCTGTCCTTCTTCCAAGAAGGTACTACAGAAAAGAATAAAACTAACTAAAACAGTAGCTTGTAGCTGTGAATGTTCTTTCACCATCCCAGGTACTGCAGAGATTAATTTTTACAGGCAAAAGGTGAAAAGTCAAGTCAAGGCATTCCAGCACTCATTTGCTGTCTCCAGCCTGCTCAGATAGATCCTTCCAGTTTATTCTGACAACTACTTTAATATTCACTTCCAGCTGAGTTTAGCAGAGTTTCCTGCTTTCACCTACCACAGAAACACTTTAAAGTCATTAAAAATACTTATAGTAACTGGCGATCATAGTAAAAGCAATGAAACCCTCCCTCTGCTGAAAAAAGGCATCAAATGAGGTTTCTGTGTTCTTATGAACTTGAAACTGTTGGGTTTTCCCCATTTAAAGCTGTTGTGTCCATTTTCCTTGGAAGAGGAAAAGCAGCTTTGCTGGACATAGTAAAAGACAATCTTGCATAATGCCAAATATTGAATCACTTTTAGATCAACCAGCAGTGGAGACTTCAGAACTGAACTAGAAAACATAAGGCACTTAAACTTTTTATTAAACTCCTTCTGCAAGAATTCCAGCTCCTGATGTGAGGTTTTAGTTACTTGGATTTATTTTTTTTTCCCAAGGATTGTTGATTTTACCACTTACCAAAGTCAAACATCCTCAGGCTTCAGGATGAGCAGCAATACTTTGTCTCTTGGACAGCAACTTACTGATTCTCTCATATTTTACAAACAGAA